GCGCCTTTTAGTACGGTGCGCCTTATGGTCGTGAAAATACGGTAACCTGTAAAATTGCCAGGGCAACAATTATGTTCCCTCTGTTTATCTTTGTGTCATACCACTAACCCATCATGATTCAAGAATAAACTATCATGAATTCTTGTATCCTGCTGAAAATGAACCTGGATAGCCAGATTATAGAATGTAGCACTCTGGTTTAGGTCCACACATCATTAGTATTGGACTCTTCTGATCAAATGTGTTTGGTGAATAGAGGGACATTAAGCAGAACCCTCCAAGCTGATCCAACATGACACCTAGTGCTCACCTACCACAATTTGGTTTCAACCAATAAGGGTAACAAATGAAAATAGAAGGGGGGGTGGGCGCCAGCATGGCGGTGGCTGGGGGGCTTCTTCGGGGCTGTCTCTCCTCCTCCCTTGGTGGGGGTCTTATTTCCGGGGCTTGCCCCTCCTTGGTGCCTTCGCTCTAGGGGTCCCTTTGGGCGCTTGGGCTTTGGGTCTCCCGGCGCTGGACTCTGGGGGGGGTGTGCCTCTTCAGCTGTCCACAACCACTATTGAGCATAGTGGTTTTCTCATCTCCTTTCTATCTCCTATTTCTTTCATCTTTTCTTTTTTTTCTTCTTTTTTCCTTTTTCTTCTTCTGTTGTTCTGCTCTATTTACATTGCAGTGTAAAACTCCCTGCATAATTATAATAAAGCAATTTATATGCATGAAACAACAAGTGGAGCAATATGGCAATTGCCATACTGCTCCACTTCTGAAACAAAAATTTTTGGGCTCTTTTTGGCATCAAGAGAATTATTCTTATTGCCACATTGCCAGACAGGACACTGTAAAAAAAACAAAACAAAAAAAAAACATCACACTGCGATGTGATTGGCTGACCTGTTTTGGGTCGGTCTGAAACAGTTGAAGTGGGAGCAGTGCAAGATGGATTATTGTGTGTTCATTAACGCATAAATAACATAAAATAAGCTTACAGGGAAGGTTATGTCTAAAAGCTGAAACTGTAAATGACACCTAATGAAATCAAAATCTCAAAGGTACGGCATAAAGATGGCAGCTCAGTTGGGAGACTCCAGATGATCGGAGGAATTACTGAATTNTAAGCTTACAGGGAAGGTTATGTCTAAAAGCTGAAACTGTAAATGACACCTAATGAAATCAAAATCTCAAAGGTACGGCATAAAGATGGCAGCTCAGTTGGGAGACTCCAGATGATCGGAGGAATTACTGAATTATCCCCATTCAGCTGAGTAATATTGTCTTGCAAAAGCCATTCAGAGGGTTAAGACAACAACGAAGCCCCAAAGGTAATATAATAAGAAGAAGGAGGACCAAAAATACTACAAACAGATACAGCTAGCGTATTTAAAACGTTATATATGGGAGGGAAAAAAGGCAAGGGTCAGATACAGAACACTGCAGTTAAAGAGGGAGAAAGGTGGACTGGGTCTCCCCAATCTACAGGTTTATTACCTTGAATCTCAGTTAAGACTAGTGTTCTGTCCATGCTTTCTAACCTACAATGCAGGGTGGAAAGATTAGGAAGAAACAACAATAGAAGGAATACTTTTAATATCAGTGTTCATGGACAAGGTGGAACAAACAGGGCAAATCATCACCACATCTTCTGGAGCTGTACTGTGATTAAAGGTTTTTGGGAGAAGATATATTCCTATCTAAATAACACCTTTACCAAAAGAATCCCATGTAAATCTAAATCCCTATGTTTAGGAAACATTTAATTTGATAACTGGACTCTTGACGATAAAGAACTGCTGTTAATGCTTCTGGCAGCAAGCAAAAAGACAATCACTAGAAAACGGTTAAAGCCTGAAGCTCCTACAGTTGAGGACTGGGTCAATATTGTACAGGACATTTACATTCTGGAGAAGCTATTGTTTCTGTTCAAGGTCAAAGAGAATCATTCTTTAGGATCGGGTCTAAATGGACAAACTATGTAAAATCATTAATCCCTGTGAACTAAATATGTCATCGTAAAGGTAAATTATGCTTGTGAAAATCTTGGCCTCATCTGTATACATTTTTGGTCTTCACAGATAATCCTAATGAGAGCCACCAGAGTCCATACCAGCACATGTCATCTAACAGAGTACAGGATAGGAAATGAGTGCTGTGCGTTGTGTCCTCCTGGTATGTCCTATTTAATGATTATTTACTGTTTATTGGGATGTGGTCTCTGTTACTTTTAAACTAGATAATGTAATGATTCTGCACTTTTTGGTTCTGTTTAAGTTTTCTTTCTGACTTTTCAGTTAGACTTTGATTCATATTTTTCTGTTTCTGATTTATTTGTTTAATTTCCCCCTTGTGTTGTTTTCTGGTTGTATTTGAGTTTTTATACATTTCTTCTTTATCCTCTGTTGTCCTCCTGTGTCAGTCTCCTTCCGTATCTCCCTTTAGATTTTTCTGTCCACACCTGCTCCCAGTCAGTAGATCCCCCCAGTCTTTGTTCTGTTTGGCATATATACTCCTCCTCTCCAGTTACAGTTTGCTGGGTTGTCATTTCTCTGCACCTTCCGTGTGTTTTCCTTGATGTCTCCTGGATTTAGTTTTTTTCTGTATTTTGTTTCTGGACTTTTGCTTCTGTTACCGGGCCAATGACGGTGCATCTTCTCCCAACTTACCAAGTCAGCATTTGAAGAAGGGAGCCCCGCTTGTAGCTTTGATAGTGTGAACCGCTGTATATTGGCCTGAGGAATCATTTAAAATAACTCATATGCATCAACTCTTTAGGTCACAAAATTTGTGGTGTGCCTTTAAATAAAAAAAAAGGCCTTGTGTTGTAGTAAAATATGTGTGACAGAGGAAAGCGAGGAAGAGAAAAGGAGGGAGAGCCAGGGCCATAGATAAACGCTTTATTATTTAGTTATTGGTGCTTCTCCTTTAATACCATCAATTTCATTAGTCAGAACCAGAGGAGTAATATGGAGAACCTGTGGGAACTACTGGGCAGCAGAGTGGGATATTTTAGAACTATTTAAAGGATAATGTATTAATGTATTTATATAGATTTAGGCATAGGCCTACAGACCATTTGCACCTTCTTTTAAAATGTGTTAAATATAGAGTCAGATACCGTTTGATACCTTTCAGGTTTAATAAATCACTTTGCGAGTGCTAAATTAATATATTTACATGTTCTCCTCCCACAAGACGCACTTTTGCGTGTAAACGCCCCATATTGCATATTCATTGTAGAAAAAGTACTAAATGGATAAGAGGCGCTATTTAGCACGTTTTAAAGACCAAATCCTTTTAGCACGCTGTTGATAGATCAGTTTGTACATTTTTTAGCGTGCGCAGTGAAATAGCTCACGTTTTTATACACGCAAACCTTTGATAGATCCGGCCCTAAGAGTTTTCCCCCCACTCGGTTGTTTGATGGGGTTTGAGGTTAAAAACTCTTTAAGTTCCCCAGCTACCCTCCTTTTAATTTTTATTAACTAAAACATAATAATTCAAGGTTGATATGATAACCACCTGCCATGGCCAATGAATACACAGCTTTTGTACCTTATTTGTATCCTATTGTACTTTGAAAAAAAAAAGTAATATATTTTGGACTGTGATTTTGGAAACCAGGCCTCTGACTGTACAGTTGAAGAATACAGTCGAAAGTGACTGCTTTATTACGTCAGTGCCTCTAGTGGCAAAATAAAGTACTACAAGAACAAACAGAAAAATCTGCCTTTGATTTTTTTTGTTGCCTTTCAGGGCAGAAAATAACAGAAGGATTTTTTTTCTCATTCCTTTTAGGGCTTCTATATATTGTAGATCCATTACTGGGCTATATAAATTAACTAAGGTAATCAAAACGTAATGATTATATGGTTGCACCAAGATAAGCAACACATTTAGCATCTCTGCACACAATGTACTAATCATTTGTAGAACATAGGTTGTAAAATGCCTGGATGGAGAAAGTAGAGCAATTAATCAATTTTAACTGTTTTAATTTCCATAAAATAAACTGTTTTGGCCTAACTTTGACTTTACCACTGGTTTTATAT